CTTTCTGCAGGTGAAGTACTTGTGGACGGATGGGGCTGGGATAGGGATAGATTAGAGTAGATTTTGGGCAGTGGAGCGGGCTTTAGTGACCAGAAGATAGATGAGATCCAATAGATACCATCTCGGAGGACGGTTTGGACGGTATGAGGTGGAGACTTACATCTTCAGGTAAATTTCTACGACCTCGGCTTTGGGGGAAGCACGACTGGGAGACCGGCCTAACTTTCTCTTCGGGGCCATCTGGACCGACCTACTTACACCGACCATCTCTGTTTTTCTATGGCGCCTTCTTCTGTGCCACCTACCGATTGACATTGTGATGCAGGCGAGGGGGTTCTCATTCCCCTCACCTTGTTACTGTTGTGGTGAGACCGGTGATTTTTTATCTGACTTTCACCTATTTGTTTCTTGAGAGCGAGACTGTGAGGAGAGTGTGGGAGCATTATTCCAGTTACACCCATATACCCTTAACCACCATAGATGACTTCTTTGTGCTTCTGAGCTTTTTCACACAGAGCACACACACACTAGACATGTAGGCTTCTTTATTCCTGGTCAGGTCCTTTGGTCCACTTGGACAAAAAGGAATAATGTGAAGCATAAGGATATTACCTTTTTTTGTTCTCATATTATTTTGCAGGTTGATAGACATCAATCTCTCCTTACCGCTTAGGGCGGACTTACGCCGAGAGACTAGATAGGTTGCACACCACCTCATCATTTTGCACCATCTCCACAGCCGTTTGTCCAGCACCCATGCCCCAGAACTGTTGTGTGGCTGAAACCCGAGCACCTTTGGGTTAAGCTAAACACTGACGGATCCTTTGACCGACTTACCAAAGTAGCCGTAGGTGGGGGTCGGATTAGGGACCATAGCGGCGCTCTTATTACCGCTTTCCATGCCCCTCTTCGGGCCTCCTCGAGCTACGACACAGAGATTTAGGCGCTTCAGGTTTGTCCTCATATTGCTGCCTCAATCTCTTTTCAAATTTGGATAGAGCTGGACGCTGCCGCTGTTATTACTCTCCTGACCACTGATCATTAGGACACATGGGAGATTCAGCATCTGCTCATGCATATTAGGGCCACTTTTCGGTCGATTCGATTCCAGATCTCGCACATCTTCCGTGAGAGGAACCGTCCTGCTGACTTCCTCGCAGGCATCAGGTCCTCCACCCCCCAGAGGCGCATACTTTATCCTGAAGATATTCGTCTCCGCCTCTGTACCCTTATACGGATGGACCAGATGAGATACCTTTCATTCAGATTTGTATAGCCGGTCCTACCTTTGGTGCATCTTCTCTTCTACTATCCCGTGACGCGACATTTTGCCTATACTTTTCGGACCAAGAGACGTTATGTTTGTATTACTGACAGTTGTTGCCAAGTGATGTACCTCTTATAACGATTATCTCGACATCAAGAGTATGGAAATCAGGAAATGAACAATGACAAACCTCCACGACAGTTAATAATCCAATAAAAATAGGTAGATGAAGTCAATTCGTTGCTAAATAAGGTTTTTGGTGGCTAGAATGGCTCAAAATGGTCATAGGAGGTCTAAAATATTGTTTTCGAAAGGAAAATGTCGACAACGACCGGAAAACAAGCACTAGAAAGTTCGTCAAAAAATTTAGGCAGAATAATCTCTGGTCGCCGGAACATGTCGCCGACGGTCGTTGGGTGAGCCAGAGGTTGGTATTCGTCCGGTGGCACGTTAGGGTGCGATCAGTGGCTTGAGGACACGCAGAAGCGGGGCTCAGGCGTGTGTGTTGGTCTATGGTACGCGGGTGCAACACGAGGTCGTCTGATGTGCTCGCGCTGGGTTGCCGGGTGAGGGAGTGCACATGCATGCGCGACTTCGTTGGGCTGCGAGTGCATGGATACTATCGCGATTGTGCTCGGACAACTCTATGCTGTGTGGGGGACTCTTTCACTAGGTTCCGCATCACTCGAGTACAGCATCCGCTCCAGCGGGCGCTATTAGGCTGCGGGTAACCGGGCACTGGACTTGGGTCCGCTGGGGGACTAGGCACCCCGCTGGGCGGCGCGGCCTTCGCGATGGATTTGGGCTATGAACCAAGGAAAGCTGAAATTTGACCCCAAATATGATGAAAATTT